CATCACCACAAGCGTTACAAAGCAGTTTATGCAATAATATCATTATGATATATTTTTTCTACCATTTCCGCGATCGCGAGGTATATAAGTTCGTAAAAAACTGGCAGCTATCAGTTTTTTTCCTTTCGCTTACCAAAGAAGGACATTACGATACAATATGCAGTTCTCTAACTTCGCCGCACTTCTTGGCCTTGGTGAGTATTATCATTCTGTTGTCATGCTATATCAGTTTAAATGGTATTAGCTGTCCGAAATAAAACGCTGGAAAGTAACATGTCCCATGCAATCTTTAAAATGGAGTTGTTTGTGTGTGATATGACAGTATTGTAACTCCAAATCCTATATTCCAACAGCGTAAAAGTGTTAATTTCACAGGAAAGTGTGTTGCTTCAAGTTTCAAGCAACATCCTCCTCAACATCTACTATATAAAGTGTAATGCTTTATACATGGGCGTGTCTTTGTTTATTTTCCAGCTGTGGCAGCCGTTTTGGGTTTGGCTAGTGCTCACGGTCATGGTGGCCACGGACATGGTGGTCATGGACATGGTGGTCACGGACATGGAGGTCATGGACATGGACATGGTGGTCACGGTCATGGAGGACATGGTCATGGTCACGGAGGTCATGGTCACGGAGGTCATGGCCACGGAGGACACGGTCACCACGGATGAAGCTGCCGAGACGTTGGGGATTGATATCCTAAGTACACAGTCACATGAGAATCTGGATGCTGGGAATCCACTGTGTAGTCGATAACCTATTGTATTGATTGTGATTCGTGTATCATCATTGCCTCAAAGAATTAAAAACATCGATCTGACAATTATGCTACTGTTTGTATTATTCATTCTCTTCTATATGGATGCTAGAATGACTACAGAACTAAAGCAATTGTGCAAATAAAATAATACTTAGTGCATGTACATAACAGCCCAAGTGACAGACGTAGGTTTAAGTCTGACAGCAAGAGAGTATGGTCTGAGATATGATAAGACGACACATCCTTGTTTCGTGCATGCTATAAAATCCACTCCCCGAAACACCATGGCTCATGTCATCCAAAATGCCGTAGTGTTTAACTGCAGCTATAAAGCAACTTAGGATAGAGGTAGTAATCAGTCCAATTCTGCACAACGCCTGCTCTATGGCATGTCCCAACTACTTTCAACTGGTACGTGCGTCGGGTCTCTCAAATGTGCCACTGAGTCATATATATCTTGTATCAACCCACATACTTAGCAAGGATTCGTCGTCATTTGATGGTATTAACCTAATATGCACACCATTGTCGATATGCATTGAATTTATCATATGGACGCGGGAGGCGCTATCAGCTATCTAGATAGCAAATGTGTCAGTAGGCTTGTTTGTCTGTTAGTGTTTGTGAGAGAGAGAGAGAGAGAGAGAGAGAGAGAGAGAGAGAGAGAGAGAGAGAGAGAGAGAGAGAGAGAGAGAGAGAGAGAGAGTCCATGATAAACCAGTGTGCATATGAATCATTCCTCATACCAATTTGGTAAGAGGTAAATGTATTGGCGGCCAGAGCATTCTCACTTTAGCCCAGTGATCCCCGTACACAATAAAAGAGAAGATAATGTGTAATCAGATTTAACACTTTGGAGTGTATTTTTATTCAGAGGTCTGGTCAAACAAAATACAAGATCATCATGTTTTACATGAGTTGTTGTTTCCCCGTTGTCCAGCAGCAGTGGAATAAAAAACAAGGGCTTTCTCGTGACACATCTTTCTGAAATGAAGAATAGGCCAAAGTTATCAGGCATGTCATTTCTACTAAAATTTGCAGAGGACATTGCCTCCGAGATATATACTTTATGTTTACAGAAACGAGTATTCCCGAGGAAAGAGTTCATCCCGTCAGGCGTTAATTGTTCTTTGGAAAATACAGTTAAGAACGTTTGCAACACAACCATTGTGAGATCTAACCGTCTACCTACCAGCTGCTATGTTTATCCATGGTGCCCCTTTCCTCCATGGCCGCCTCCATGTCCTTTGCCCCCGTGTCCGCCACCATGGCCTCCGTGTCCCTTGCCCCCATGGCCACCACCATGACCTTTGCCGCCATGACCCTTTCCACCTCCATGACCGCCTCCATGACCATGACCATGACCATGACCACCACCATGACCCTTGGCCACGCTGGTTCCGAACACTGCAGCAAGAACTGTCAGAAAGAGAAAACACAATACATTATTTGCGACGCTGATAATGTGTACTGTTCAGGCTAGTTAAAAGCAATTATTAAGACGTAAACACAGTCACATCGCGTTAATAAAATGTTGACAGTTGGAGTAGATGGCATATCATATTTAGGTTTCCTATATAGATTGACAGTGACTGTCAAGTAACTTTTCTCACAAATGATCTGAACTTTCAGCCAGGCGATTATACAGCGTGACTAGTGTAGATTTACATTTAGGCACCAACGAGGTATGCTCACCTGCTACAAGGAGCACTGCGACTTTAAGAAAATGCATATTTGATGGTTCTGATGAATGCAAACCTCAGAAAACGTAAAGTTACCTTCTGCACGTTCTCTTTTATAGAGGTGTAACAGCATGTTCTGTGCATGCATGGGGATGCGGCGCACCTTTCCAAATCAGATTAATTAACCAGATGTTTAATTTCTACATCAACTGCACTTTTTTCAATTTTACTTTTTCTCAAGCGTTTGAACTTTTGCATTAATCTCCCGCCACGATCTCCGCATGTCCTAATATAGATATGGCCCAGCTTTTAGGTGTTGTCTGTTAGGGAGAAATTACTTTGTGTCCTTTGTTCAAATTAAGTTTGTTATTGTTATCGAATACATGCCACAGAGACAATTGAAATGGTTCTTGTACCGACAAAAGGTAAGAGGGTATGGTGAAGGCCAGTCTAATGGTAATTGATAAAGGGGGTTGAACTTCATGTATGTGTAAAACGAAAACATTTAGCCGACAGCAAATCACCACATGCATCGCTTGCGGGATATTAATAGGCTTCCTTGGAGCTCTGCGGTGTGCTTGGTGTGTAGCTAAAACCACTGTGACATCACCACAAGCGTTACAAAGCAGTTTATGCAATAATATCATTATGATATATTTTTTCTACCATTTCCGCGATCGCGAGGTATATAAGTTCGTAAAAAACTGGCAGCTATCAGTTTTTTTCCTTTCGCTTACCAAAGAAGGACATTACGATACAATATGCAGTTCTCTAACTTCGCCGCACTTCTTGGCCTTGGTGAGTATTATCATTCTGTTGTCATGCTATATCAGTTTAAATGGTATTAGCTGTCCGAAATAAAACGCTGGAAAGTAACATGTCCCATGCAATCTTTAAAATGGAGTTGTTTGTGTGTGATATGACAGTATTGTAACTCCAAATCCTATATTCCAACAGCGTAAAAGTGTTAATTTCACAGGAAAGTGTGTTGCTTCAAGTTTCAAGCAACATCCTCCTCAACATCTACTATATAAAGTGTAATGCTTTATACATGGGCGTGTCTTTGTTTATTTTCCAGCTCTGGCAGCCGTTTTGGGTTTGGCTAGTGCTCACGGTCATGGTGGCCACGGACATGGTGGTCATGGACATGGTGGTCACGGACATGGAGGTCATGGACATGGACATGGTGGTCACGGTCATGGAGGACATGGTCATGGTCACGGAGGTCATGGTCACGGAGGTCATGGTCACGGAGGTCATGGCCACGGAGGACACGGTCACCACGGATGAAGCTGCCGAGACGTTGGGGATTGATATCCTAAGTACACAGTCACATGAGAATCTGGATGCTGGGAATCCACTGTGTAGTCGATAACCTATTGTATTGATTGTGATTCGTGTATCATCATTGCCTCAAAGAATTAAAACATCGATCTGACAATTATGCTACTGTTTGTATTATTCATTCTCTTCTATATGGATGCTAGAATGACTACAGAACTAAAGCAATTGTGCAAATAAAATAATACTTAGTGCATGTACATAACAGCCCAAGTGACAGACGTAGGTTTAAGTCTGACAGCAAGAGAGTATGGTCTGAGATATGATAAGACGACACATCCTTGTTTCGTGCATGCTATAAAATCCACTCCCCGAAACACCATGGCTCATGTCATCCAAAATGCCGTAGTGTTTAACTGCAGCTATAAAGCAACTTAGGATAGAGGTAGTAATCAGTCCAATTCTGCACAACGCCTGCTCTATGGCATGTCCCAACTACTTTCAACTGGTACGTGCGTCGGGTCTCTCAAATGTGCCACTGAGTCATATATATCTTGTATCAACCCACATACTTAGCAAGGATTCGTCGTCATTTGATGGTATTAACCTAATATGCACACCATTGTCGATATGCATTGAATTTATCATATGGACGCGGGAGGCGCTATCAGCTATCAAGATAGCAAATGTGTCAGTAGGCTTGTTTGTCTGTTAGTGTTTGTGAGAGAGAGAGAGAGAGAGAGAGAGAGAGAGAGAGAGAGAGAGAGAGAGAGAGAGAGAGAGAGAGAGAGTCCATGATAAACCAGTGTGCATATGAATCATTCCTCATACCAATTTGGTAAGAGGTAAATGTATTGGCGGCCAGAGCATTCTCACTTTAGCCCAGTGATCCCCGTACACAATAAAAGAGAAGATAATGTGTAATCAGATTTAACACTTTGGAGTTTATTTTTATTCAGGGGTCTGGTCAAACAAAATACAAGATCATCATGTTTTACATGAGTTGTTGTTTCCCCGTTGTCCAGCAGCAGTGGAATAAAAAACAAGGGCTTTCTCGTGACACATCTTTCTGAAATGAAGAATAGGCCAAAGTTATCAGGCATGTCATTTCTACTAAAATTTGCAGAGGACATTGCCTCCGAGATATATACTTTATGTTTACAGAAACGAGTATTCCCGAGGAAAGAGTTCATCCCGTCAGGCGTTAATTGTTCTTTGGAAAATACAGTTAAGAACGTTTGCAACACAACCATTGTGAGATCTAACCGTCTACCTACCAGCTGCTATGTTTATCCATGGTGCCCCTTTCCTCCATGGCCGCCTCCATGTCCTTTGCCCCCGTGTCCGCCACCATGGCCTCCGTGTCCCTTGCCCCCATGGCCACCACCATGACCTTTGCCGCCATGACCCTTTCCACCTCCATGACCGCCTCCATGACCATGACCATGACCACCACCATGACCCTTGGCCATGCTGGTTCCGAACACTGCAGCAAGAACTGTCAGAAAGAGAAAACACAATACATTATTTGCGACGCTGATAATGTGTACTGTTCAGGCTAGTTAAAAGCAATTATTAAGACGTAAACACAGTCACATCGCGTTAATAAAATGTTGACAGTTGGAGTAGATGGCATATCATATTTAGGTTTCCTATATAGATTGACAGTGACTGTCAAGTAACTTTTCTCACAAATGATCTGAACTTTCAGCCAGGCGATTATACAGCGTGACTAGTGTAGATTTACATTTAGGCACCAACGAGGTATGCTCACCTGCTACAAGGAGCACTGCGACTTTAAGAAAATGCATATTTGATGGTTCTGATGAATGCAAACCTCAGAAAACGTAAAGTTACCTTCTGCACGTTCTCTTTTATAGAGGTGTAACAGCATGTTCTGTGCATGCATGGGGATGCGGCGCACCTTTCCAAATCAGATTAATTAACCAGATGTTTAATTTCTACATCAACTGCACTTTTTTCAATTTTACTTTTTCTCAAGCGTTTGAACTTTTGCATTAATCTCCCGCCACGATCTCCGCATGTCCTAATATAGATATGGCCCAGCTTTTAGGTGTTGTCTGTTAGGGAGAAATTACTTTGTGTCCTTTGTTCAAATTAAGTTTGTTATTGTTATCGAATACATGCCACAGAGACAATTGAAATGGTTCTTGTACCGACAAAAGGTAAGAGGGTATGGTGAAGGCCAGTCTAATGGTAATTGATAAAGGGGGTTGAACTACATGTATGTGTAAAACGAAAACATTTAGCCGACAGCAAATCACCACATGCATCGCTTGCGGGATATTAATAGGCTTCCTTGGAGCTCTGCGGTGTGCTTGGTGTGTAGCTAAAACCACTGTGACATCACCACAAGCGTTACAAAGCAGTTTATGCAATAATATCATTATGATATATTTTTTCTACCATTTCCGCGATCGCGAGGTATATAAGTTCGTAAAAAACTGGCAGCTATCAGTTTTTTTCCTTTCGCTTACCAAAGAAGGACATTACGATACAATATGCAGTTCTCTAACTTCGCCGCACTTCTTGGCCTTGGTGAGTATTATCATTCTGTTGTCATGCTATATCAGTTTAAATGGTATTAGCTGTCCGAAATAAAACGCTGGAAAGTAACATGTCCCATGCAATCTTTAAAATGGAGTTGTTTGTGTGTGATATGACAGTATTGTAACTCCAAATCCTATATTCCAACAGCGTAAAAGTGTTAATTTCACAGGAAAGTGTGTTGCTTCAAGTTTCAAGCAACATCCTCCTCAACATCTACTATATAAAGTGTAATGCTTTATACATGGGCGTGTCTTTGTTTATTTTCCAGCTCTGGCAGCCGTTTTGGGTTTGGCTAGTGCTCACGGTCATGGTGGCCACGGACATGGTGGTCATGGACATGGTGGTCACGGACATGGAGGTCATGGACATGGACATGGTGGTCACGGTCATGGAGGACATGGTCATGGTCACGGAGGTCATGGTCACGGAGGTCATGGTCACGGAGGTCATGGCCACGGAGGACACGGTCACCACGGATGAAGCTGCCGAGACGTTGGGGATTGATATCCTAAGTACACAGTCACATGAGAATCTGGATGCTGGGAATCCACTGTGTAGTCGATAACCTATTGTATTGATTGTGATTCGTGTATCATCATTGCCTCAAAGAATTAAAACATCGATCTGACAATTATGCTACTGTTTGTATTATTCATTCTCTTCTATATGGATGCTAGAATGACTACAGAACTAAAGCAATTGTGCAAATAAAATAATACTTAGTGCATGTACATAACAGCCCAAGTGACAGACGTAGGTTTAAGTCTGACAGCAAGAGAGTATGGTCTGAGATATGATAAGACGACACATCCTTGTTTCGTGCATGCTATAAAATCCACTCCCCGAAACACCATGGCTCATGTCATCCAAAATGCCGTAGTGTTTAACTGCAGCTATAAAGCAACTTAGGATAGAGGTAGTAATCAGTCCAATTCTGCACAACGCCTGCTCTATGGCATGTCCCAACTACTTTCAACTGGTACGTGCGTCGGGTCTCTCAAATGTGCCACTGAGTCATATATATCTTGTATCAACCCACATACTTAGCAAGGATTCGTCGTCATTTGATGGTATTAACCTAATATGCACACCATTGTCGATATGCATTGAATTTATCATATGGACGCGGGAGGCGCTATCAGCTTTCAAGATAGCAAATGTGTCAGTAGGCTTGTTTGTCTGTTAGTGTTTGTGAGAGAGAGAGAGAGAGAGAGAGAGAGAGAGAGAGAGAGAGAGAGAGAGAGAGAGAGAGAGAGAGAGAGAGAGAGAGAGAGAGTCCATGATAAACCAGTGTGCATATGAATCATTCCTCATACCAATTTGGTAAGAGGTAAATGTATTGGCGGCCAGAGCATTCTCACTTAAGCCCAGTGATCCCCGTACACAATAAAAGAGAAGATAATGTGTAATCAGATTTAACACTTTGGAGTGTATTTTTATTCAGAGGTCTGGTCAAACAAAATACAAGATCATCATGTTTTACATGAGTTGTTGTTTCCCCGTTGTCCAGCAGCAGTGGAATAAAAAACAAGGGCTTTCTCGTGACACATCTTTCTGAAATGAAGAATAGGCCAAAGTTATCAGGCATGTCATTTCTACTAAAATTTGCAGAGGACATTGCCTCCGAGATATATACTTTATGTTTACAGAAACGAGTATTCCCGAGGAAAGAGTTCATCCCGTCAGGCGTTAATTGTTCTTTGGAAAATACAGTTAAGAACGTTTGCAACACAACCATTGTGAGATCTAACCGTCTACCTACCAGCTGCTATGTTTATCCATGGTGCCCCTTTCCTCCATGGCCGCCTCCATGTCCTTTGCCCCCGTGTCCGCCACCATGGCCTCCGTGTCCCTTGCCCCCATGGCCACCACCATGACCTTTGCCGCCATGACCCTTTCCACCTCCATGACCGCCTCCATGACCATGACCATGACCACCACCATGACCCTTGGCCATGCTGGTTCCGAACACTGCAGCAAGAACTGTCAGAAAGAGAAAACACAATACATTATTTGCGACGCTGATAATGTGTACTGTTCAGGCTAGTTAAAAGCAATTATTAAGACGTAAACACAGTCACATCACGTTAATAAAATGTTGACAGTTGGAGTAGATGGCATATCATATTTAGGTTTCCTATATAGATTGACAGTGACTGTCAAGTAACTTTTCTCACAAATGATCTGAACTTTCAGCCAGGCGATTATACAGCGTGACTAGTGTAGATTTACATTTAGGCACCAACGAGGTATGCTCACCTGCTACAAGGAGCACTGCGACTTTAAGAAAATGCATATTTGATGGTTCTGATGAATGCAAACCTCAGAAAACGTAAAGTTACCTTCTGCACGTTCTCTTTTATAGAGGTGTAACAGCATGTTCTGTGCATGCATGGGGATGCGGCGCACCTTTCCAAATCAGATTAATTAACCAGATGTTTAATTTCTACATCAACTGCACTTTTTTCAATTTTACTTTTTCTCAAGCGTTTGAACTTTTGCATTAATCTCCCGCCACGATCTCCGCATGTCCTAATATAGATATGGCCCAGCTTTTAGGTGTTGTCTGTTAGGGAGAAATTACTTTGTGTCCTTTGTTCAAATTAAGTTTGTTATTGTTATCGAATACATGCCACAGAGACAATTGAAATAGTTCTTGTACCGACAAAAGGTAAGAGGGTATGGTGAAGGCCAGTCTAATGGTAATTGATAAAGGGGGTTGAACTACATGTATGTGTAAAACGAAAACATTTAGCCGACAGCAAATCACCACATGCATCGCTTGCGGGATATTAATAGGCTTCCTTGGAGCTCTGCGGTGTGCTTGGTGTGTAGCTAAAACCACTGTGACATCACCACAAGCGTTACAAAGCAGTTTATGCAATAATATCATTATGATATATTTTTTCTACCATTTCCGCGATCGCGAGGTATATAAGTTCGTAAAAAACTGGCAGCTATCAGTTTTTTTCCTTTCGCTTACCAAAGAAGGACATTACGATACAATATGCAGTTCTCTAACTTCGCCGCACTTCTTGGCCTTGGTGAGTATTATCATTCTGTTGTCATGCTATATCAGTTTAAATGGTATTAGCTGTCCGAAATAAAACGCTGGAAAGTAACATGTCCCATGCAATCTTTAAAATGGAGTTGTTTGTGTGTGATATGACAGTATTGTAACTCCAAATCCTATATTCCAACAGCGTAAAAGTGTTAATTTCACAGGAAAGTGTGTTGCTTCAAGTTTCAAGCAACATCCTCCTCAACATCTACTATATAAAGTGTAATGCTTTATACATGGGCGTGTCTTTGTTTATTTTCCAGCTCTGGCAGCCGTTTTGGGTTTGGCTAGTGCTCACGGTCATGGTGGCCACGGACATGGTGGTCATGGACATGGTGGTCACGGACATGGAGGTCATGGACATGGACATGGTGGTCACGGTCATGGAGGACATGGTCATGGTCACGGAGGTCATGGTCACGGAGGTCATGGCCACGGAGGACACGGTCACCACGGATGAAGCTGCCGAGACGTTGGGGATTGATATCCTAAGTACACAGTCACATGAGAATCTGGATGCTGGGAATCCACTGTGTAGTCGATAACCTATTGTATTGATTGTGATTCGTGTATCATCATTGCCTCAAAGAATTAAAACATCGATCTGACAATTATGCTACTGTTTGTATTATTCATTCTCTTCTATATGGATGCTAGAATGACTACAGAACTAAAGCAATTGTGCAAATAAAATAATACTTAGTGCATGTACATAACAGCCCAAGTGACAGACGTAGGTTTAAGTCTGACAGCAAGAGAGTATGGTCTGAGATATGATAAGACGACACATCCTTGTTTCGTGCATGCTATAAAATCCACTCCCCGAAACACCATGGCTCATGTCATCCAAAATGCCGTAGTGTTTAACTGCAGCTATAAAGCAACTTAGGATAGAGGTAGTAATCAGTCCAATTCTGCACAACGCCTGCTCTATGGCATGTCCCAACTACTTTCAACTGGTACGTGCGTCGGGTCTCTCAAATGTGCCACTGAGTCATATATATCTTGTATCAACCCACATACTTAGCAAGGATTCGTCGTCATTTGATGGTATTAACCTAATATGCACACCATTGTCGATATGCATTGAATTTATCATATGGACGCGGGAGGCGCTATCAGCTATCAAGATAGCAAATGTGTCAGTAGGCTTGTTTGTCTGTTAGTGTTTGTGAGAGAGAGAGAGAGAGAGAGGGAGAGAGAGAGAGAGAGAGAGAGAGAGAGAGAGAGAGAGAGAG